CCTGTGGTCCTACTCATATTTTTACAAAATTGCGCCCGTCTCGGCACTCGCATCGTCTCGCCGTCTCGGCACTTACCCGTTTAGCTTGGGTGCCGCCGATTTACCCGTGCAGTTTGGGTATCCGCGGTTTTACCCAGCCCGTCCTGAAATTAAACCAGTACAGGGTATTGCAAACAATATTTCAGGATCATCAAAAAATGCCGAGCGTCTTCGCATTAACAAACAATGCAGCACACAAGGATAGGTTAAAAATATGTGCCCGCCTGCACCGGATTTTGGACCAAAATAGCGAAGTTGTGATAAAAATGATAAACTACATTGATGCATGCTGCATGCTGTTTGCATCCGAGAGCAAAAATAAATGAAATACGTGTCTGGTTAAAGCCAGTTTAGTGCCGCTGGACCACTGGTGGCAGTTAAGTTCGCAAAAACGCTTGCGGGTGCCGCCGACATCAGCTGAGCTCGGAGGACCGCTGGTGGGCGCCGCCGCCCTCAGCTGAGCTCGGAGGACCGCTGGTGGGCGCCGCCGCCCTCAGCTGAGCTCGGAGGACCGCTGGTGGGCGCCGCCGCCCTCAGCTGAGCTCGGAGGACCGCTGGTGGGCGCCGCCGCCCTCAGCTGAGCTCGGAGGACCGCTGGTGGGCGCCGCCGACATCAGCTGAGCTAGGAGGAACGCTAGTGGGCGCCGCCGCCCTCAGCTGAGCTCGGAGGACCGCTGATGGGCGCCGCCGCCCTCAGCTGAGCTCGGAGGACCGCTGGTGGGCGCCGCCGCCCTCAGCTGAGCTCGGAGGACCGCTGGTGGGCGCCGCCGCCCTCAGCTGAGCTCGGAGGACCGCTGGTGGGCGCCGCCGCCCTCAGCTGAGCTCGGAGGACCGCTGGTGGGCGCCGCCGACATCAGCTGAGCTAGGAGGAACGCTAGTGGGCGCCGCCGCCCTCAGCTGAGCTCGGAGGACCGCTGGTGGGCGCCGCCGCCCTCAGCTGAGCTCGGAGGACCGCTGGTGGGCGCCGCCGCCCTCAGCTGAGCTCGGAGGACCGCTGGTGGGCGCCACCAATCTCAGGTGAGCTCGGAGGACCGCTGGTGGGCGCCACCGACCTTAGCTGAGCTCGGAGGATGACTGGTGGGTGTCACCGACCTCAGGTGAGCTCGGAGGACCGCTGGTGGGCGCCACCGACCCTAGCCCAGCCGCCGACCGTTCAGCAGCAGTTCTCGGCCCTGCAGGAGCCGACCAATCCACCCGAACAAAGCTACTAACGGGCGAGTAATATTTTTTGACAAGTTTTAACTTACTGATGCAAAGGTGATCGCATTGTGAAATCACGGTTTTTGATATGTGTGATGACGAAAAAATACAAATTCAAGAAATTCCGCTTGTGCCCCAGGAGAATGAGCCCACCCTGCACATACAGCTCCGACTGACAGAGGACATGTGGGGCCTGATCAAGGAGACACTGTATGCGGGAAGCTGGCAAGTACGACCGATCAAACAGTTAAAGGTCCGGATCCGAAGAATCACTTGTGAACATAAGCCAGAGGTGCCGTGCAGGGTGAGAAAGAAAGTGTACGTGCGCGTGGGCGTATAGCACAAATAGGGCGTCACAGCTCTGTAGCCTGGGTACCATCGTACTTTCCACGGAGTACGGTTCATGTAGAATCATTTTGGTTTCAGCGAAAGGCAAAGTTCTTCAACAACGAGTCCTCCACAAGCCTTTGAATTGAACATAATCCAAAGACATAGCACTCTCCCGTGGCGAAGCCGAATGAGTCACCCTCCCACTGGAGGTATGAAGAGTGCGCTGGGGAGTCGTGTTAGGGGATGTCCAGGTGGCAAACGAAGAGCGTGCGGGGGACGGCAGCCGTGCTCGCGGGGTGCTAGGCGGTAAACGAAGAGCACGCGGAGGACAGCAGTCATCCTCGGGGATAGCCAGGTGGCAAACGTATGACCTCTGCTGAACACGGCACAGACTTGTCCGACATTTTCTGTAGTTAAAACACGAATGAGGGCGGTTTGAGTGCTCGTTGGTTGATGGTTCTTGCGTTGTGCCTCATGCCGTACAACGTGCGAGTTATGCGAGCTTATCTTTTTCCTTGGGACTTACCAGCAACTGTTTTGCTGCTTTGGGTTGCAGCTGGTTTTGATTCCCGCCGCCGCAATCAGATAAAAGGATTGCAGCGATAATGGCCATACCTTATGGATGCAGCCTCAACGCTCGACTTTGACTGATTGCTATTATCAAGTGTGTTCTTTACCAGGGATAAGACTACGCGGCCTCACCCTCATTATGGCGGGACACAGCGAGTGACCCAGCTTCGCATTGCGAGTATATATCGGTTCAAATAATAAGGGAATGGGATGTGGTTCATCATCATGCAGCACATATGCATCCTTTCAGCTCTGGGTGAAAGATCTTCAATGGAGCATTTTGGTTCCACATACATACAAGGTTGTTAAGCCAGTGAGAGCACGCAAAACTGAAGTTCGTGGCTTAGACAATTCACGCCTTTGTTCCACTTTTGATGCATCCTTCGGTGCGACCAGAAACCATGGCATTCATGACCAAACGAATGCCTTCAAGAATCTGTTGCGGATGTTTCCGTCATTCACAGACCATGAATTGGACCGCAATTTATTTTAAGAAGCAGGGCAACAACTCGGGTATTACAAGGGTCTGACCCACATAAACTGCTCTAGACAAGCTAACCTGAAAAATCCCGCATAGTTTTGGAACCCGCCCCGAAAATAACGCAAGCTTTCGTCGCATATTTTCAATCAAAGACCTGCACATGTAAGCGACCAAACCCAGCTTTTCCCGTCATTGACGGCCGCGGCGCGGCCGGCTCCGGCCCCACATCGGCGTTCAGTCGGCGTCGGGCATTCTTCTGCTGGCTTTCTCCCGCCTCCGCCGTGCCGTCATCCTGCCGCGTTCCCGCCCATTGCCTCAGATGTTTGGCAATACTGATCCCGCGCCGGTGTCTGGAGTCGCTCCACAAAGCCGGGGACGGACGCCGTGGCGCGGGCCTCTTCAGACGCACCAGACGGCGGGCAGCCGTGGGCTGGCCGGCCCGTTTTGCGTCACTTATAAAATAACCGCTGGGAGGTACACGCAATAGGAGTGTCGAGCATGAGAGCGATGAGCTGGGGAAGGAGCGGCAAAGTTTCGTGTTGGGTTTGATCACACAAGACGCCCTCAGAATGGATTCAGTTGTTTGCTTTGATGCGCCACTGAAAGAGCAGGAGGAGGCCTGAGGCCGGCGCTCTTTCTTTTGCAAGCTGAACTGATATCCTGCGGTCGTAGTCGCCGTGCGGTGATATCACAACGGCATCACTTGGTGTGATGCTGTGGTTTTGCTGTCCACCGGAGACGTTTGTGGTGTGTAGACCATGTTTAGACCATGTTTAGCGCAGTGAAACCTAGGATCTTTCGCTGGTAGTGAGGCAGAGCACCTGGAGTCCATTAGAGCCGCATTTTTTCGTTTCGTTTCCTTCTCTGAAATAACACGGAACCGCCTCCCAGCTGCTGCCTGAGATTAGTAGCGGGGATAGAGTCCAAATGCAATGTCGACACATAAATGAACGGATTTTGTCAAAAAGGCAAACAAATTAAAAAACGTATTTTGCCATACGTAGATGACTTTCACTGGTCTCCGTTTTATAATTCAATGCCTTTGCATACGCCATCTTCGTGTTCAGAAGCTTGTGCTGTTCACCAGTTTCCTCAAGAGGGCCGGAAGGCGGATCACAACAGGCCTAGCCGGCCGGGTCGCCAATGATAACGATCGATCCTGATAACGCTAGAGTCAAAATCAAAGAGCGGAGAGTCAAGACTCTCTATATGTCGCAAGAGTCATTTGGTCAACACGAAGCACAGCCACCAGACAGACGCCTTTACCACTTCTCATCCGCCGAACCCGCCAACAAAACCAAACACAAGCCGTCACTGGTAGCACATTTATTTTTCACAAACAATGGGCACTATTCAGCTGAGTAACGGAAACGGTAATTAGTCGGGCTCTATCCAGCACGAGCTTCGGCGGGTTGGCACCGTGATTCACTGAAGCTGACGGCCCCGCAGGTGACCGCCGCGGCGCCTGCAGCGTCGGCACTGCGCCCATTTACTTTACGCCCGAAGCCTGCCGCCATTATTTACACCTGTACACGTCGTTTGGGCAGGGCCGGAGTGTCTCAGACCGGTTTCACACGGCGGTGCTGCCGCCGCATCATTCCGGCGCGGTTACGTCCCAACAATGACTAGAGCTTAAACGGGTTAGCGCCCAGCGGGCTAATCATAATCGTCTACTCGTTGTCGGTCTTAAATATCAATTACGTCGCCGGCTCTCAGCGTTAGCGGAATACTGATCCCAGGCATGATGCACGAACGGGCGCGGACACGACAGATACTCAACAGATGGGACAACAAGACGACATCACAATACCGTCCGCTGGCCGGGCCGCCGGCCCCGGTCAGATAAGCTAAATTGCACGCGGTGCAGGCTGGATAGAGCTATGCGGTCGCCCAGACCTGCCGCCGAGCCCACTACATTACCCATAGGAGCGAGCCTCACCTCGAGAGACCCCGAAGGACCGGTCAGCGGCGGCCAACAACGCCGCCGCACAGCGCGCGGACACAGACCTGCCGCAGAACGCGGCCGAGCGGCGCAGCCGCGCGGCGTCCGGCCGGCGCCCTGAGTACGGCCGGGCCGGGCCGGGCCGCCGGGACGGGCCGCCGGCACGGGACATGGCTGGCCGAACGCCACCTCGCAGCGGAGCATCAGCCACAGGCGCGGCGGGGTGGCCGAACCGACCCCCACCTCGCCAGCGACGGGCATCCGGGACCTGGTCAGGTCCCACGGGGTCCCCCGCCGGTCCCACCGGGTCCGTTGTTGACCCCTCGGGGTCCGCTGCCGGTCCCGGCGTCGCCCTGGTCCGCCGCGGCTCAGTCCCGGCCGCGGGCCGGTCTCCAGTCGGGTCGCCGGTCCCGGTCGGCCGGGCCGGGTCGCGGGCTCGTGTCCGCCGCCGCCGGCGTCGGCGCGCCTGCCGCCCCTCTAGAATATGACGGAGACGGGTCGCCGCAGGTGATCGACGCTGGCCGGGTAGCCGGGGTACAGCTGGGAGGGCAGCGCGCTGGACGCCAGCGCGCCCGCCATCGTCGTCGTCGCCGGCGGCGCGCTGGTCGGCAGCAGGCCAGCCGATGATGCCGTCGGCTTGCCGTACAGCGAGCTGTAGAAGCTGGAGAAGGACTGGCCGTCGGGCGCCGGCGGCTTGTAGCCGTCGGGGAAGCCGCGGTGGCCGCCGTAGCCGTCCGCGGCCGACACCTTGGCCTGCATCGCACTGTACGCGTTCATCTGCTCCGACGCCAGCTTCGACATCTGGGACGAGTAGGCGGCGCTCATGGTCTCGCCCAGCTTGCCCATCTGCCCCGAGTCGAAGCTGGCCAGGCCCTGGAACGAGTTGTAGAACGGGTGCGTCGGCACCGTCGACGGGAAGAGACCGCGCGACTTGTCCGCCATGTCGAACGGGCTCACGACGCCCGGCGGCGCCGAAATAAACGTCTGGTGCAGCGGATTCAGCGGGTCAATCGGGTTGCCGTGGAAGTACGGCAGCGGGAAGCCGTAGCCGTTCTTCTGCAGCGTCTTGGGCTTGCGGCGCGGTCGGTACTTGTAGTCCGGATGGTCGACCATGTGCTGCGCGCGCAGCCGCTTGGCCTCGTCGATGAAGGGCCGCTTCTCGGTCTCGGTCAGCAGCTTCCACTCGGAGCCGAGCCGCTTCGAGATCTCCGAGTTGTGCATCTTGGGGTTGTCCTGCGCTATCTTACGACGCTGCATGCGCGACCACACCATGAAGGCGTTCATCGGTCGCTTGATGTGCTCCTCGTTCTTCTTCGACATCTTCGTCTCTGCGGAGGGCTCACCTGCGTCACGGGCGGCGTCACGGGGCGTCACGAGGTGTCACGGCGCGGTCGCCGTCGCGGCGCGGGCTGCTCGTCCGCTCCGTCTCGCTCCGCGCCACAAGGCGAGTGCCGGGCGCCGACTAGCGGCGGCGGCGGCCGGCCGGCCGGCGCCGGTCCAGGGGGCGGGGCCTCGCGCCGTCTCCGCCAATCGGCGGCGCCGGCACAAGCGGCCGCACGCCCCACCGAATCATTGGCTGTCATTGTTTCAAGGTGATTAACTTCGCCGCTGACCTCCGCATTGTGCGGCTGCCGCTCCGATGCGAACGGAGATAAGGCGCGGGGAAAATGGCAGCGGCGTCGCGGCGGCGGCGGCGGCGGCCGACAGCTCGCCACCGGCCCCGGCCGCCGTCGCATGTCGGCCGAAACGCTCGGCCAGGGTCGAGGAAACACCGCTTTTGTCGCGGCCGCGACGGGACCGTTGCGAGCATTGTTGTCGGGGCGGCACCGGCGCCGGGCGCGCACATGTGGCCGCGAAAATTGCCGCTCGCGGCGCCGCCCTGTGCCGGGGCGATTCGGCTGACGGGACGCCTCGACACACATGTGTTTGCGGCCGACTCGCGGCATTGTGGCGCCGCTTCTGCACTCGCTTTGATTGATCACGGGCGGCGACAGTCCCGCGGCGGTCGGCGCCGAGGCTGCCGCACCAGGCGGGTGGACGCCTCGGCGCCGCTCCAGGCTGGCAGGCTGCGACCGAGCTCGGCCGCGGAACCCGCTCGGCTGGCCTCCCGTGATGCTGGACACACTGTATCATAAGCTTTGCGACTTGTGCTGGGTGTGCTTTGTTGTCGCACCCTTTTGAATGACAGTGCATGTCATGGGAAGGTTGAATTGAGTTCACAGTGACGTAGTTTTACGCCAGGTGGAAGCTGTTGACAAGCAGCTCAACATGAAGTCACTCCACGGATGCACGCTTTATTCTACAATTCATTGCGTGGGTTCATTTTGAGTCCGTGATTCAACCACTGTCCATTTGTGGTCAACAATGTTCTAGACTTGAAGTGAAAACTGAAATATTTACGGCTGCTGAGCCCTGTCAAAGGCGAAGAGCTAGAATGAAAACCTGTGCGTGTGTGGTCATAAATCGTGGATGCTCACAATCGTAACAATTTTCGAAATTTTCGCCTGCACAATCATTCACTGCATTCAAAAGTTTGATAAAATCAAGGTTTACACACGAGTTTGATGGCTGGCCCATTTGCACCGTTCACTGTCATTACAGATGTCAATGTTCATCCGATATAGTTCTTAAATATGTTAAAGTATAATACTAGTCCAACTCTTCATGGTTTTGTTGTTAATGCTAATCCGATTTTGTTCCGTTGGGATGGGCTGTCAGATGGCGAGCCAGTCACTGCCGTGGGCGGTGGTTGGTGCGGTTCTGTGGAAACCTGTCGAACAAATGCCGACCGAATGCCAACTGTGATCATTTTTACAATGCGGAATACACTTACGCTGTCTATAATTGGGTGCGGTATCATGGAAGAGACCAAACACCTTGGTGAAAAAACGATGGTGCGCTGATGGAAATTATGTTTAACGCTGAAATGTAACTTGTCCGACCAAAATTTTACCGAACTTTCAATATTTTCTGTTGTAACATTTCGAGCTCCCTTATCCAAGACGTTAATTTCTAGCGAATCACTACATATTTCGCTATCGTTTCGTTGCTGGGCTGAAATGTTGACTAGCACGTCAATGCGGTCGACTCAAGCCAAGACCCGAATCAACCTTGGTCAAATCGTGCTCTAAACAACATGTAACCAACCGACACCAGTACTGAGCAGTGACGCTGCACCACGCGAAGAATGCTGACACTTGTTTGGGGAAGGGATCAGAGACGAAGCCGACCGATGACGTCAGCAAGGCGCCAGGAGCCCGGCGACATGACGTCAGACCGTCGTCTGACCTCGGCCGGGGTGACCCGGACGGCGTTACAGACGAGGGACGCGTGCGACCGGGCGGCGCAGACCCGATCAGGGGCGGCACCAGGTCATGGGCCCGGGGAGGCGCCGGCCGGCGGACAGGGAAGCACGTCGTCACGTATGCCTGTGCCGGGTCCGGGGAGGCGCCGGCCGGCAGGCGGGGAAGCGCGTTGTCATGGCGGCCAGCAGGCCCCGCCGCCGTGCCGGAGCGGACAGCCGGGGACGGGGAGCAGGCGGCCATAGCGTCTGCCGACGAGAAACGGGGATGGCCGAGGCTACTGGGATAAAGACGGCTGGCGACAGCCGGTCACCTGTTGTCTGCAAAGCTGGGCTGATTGGTGGAACTGCGAGCTATTTGTGTTACTCGCGGCCAGAAAAACCACTGCACACTCCAACTGCGCCTATAGGGGTTACGATACGTGCTAGGTTTGTCTTCCTTTGCAGACTGTTCACACTTTTGGAGCGGAGTTTATCCAAAGGATGCGTACCAGGATGAGACTGAGATGTGTTCCCGAAGCATTCATTGCCAAGGTCGGATCTCCGATACACACATGTCAGTGTGATTGTCATCGCCCCGGCAGAAAACCAGAGACCGTTGCGTTGCCTTACACCGCACAAAATAACTAACGAACAAGTTGGTAACGAACTAGTAACATTGGTTATTTCGAATGGTGCTACCGTCTCACTGGCGTTGCATTTCTGCCGCGCGACCATTGCGGAACAGCCTAGAAGCAGAATGCACACCCAGGTTTGTGGCGACCTGCAGTGCCAGGGCTGACGCACAACAACCCGCGCTTCCTCCGTGCGGGTGTAATGTGCAGGTACACCACCGCCACGCTGTTAGGGGCACTTCTACGAGTCCGCAGGAGGCTGTCCTCCCTGAGGCTCTCGGCGCTCAACTATGCTGTCCTCCCTGAGGCTCTCGGCGCTTAACTGTGCTGTCCTCCCTGAGGCTCTCGGCGCTCAACTGTGCTGTCCTCCCTGAGGCTCTCGGCGCTCAACTATGCTGTCCTCCCTGAGACTCTCGGCGCTCAACTGTGTTGTCCTCCCTGAGGCTCTCGGCGCCCAACTGTGCTGTCCTCCCTGAGGCTCTCGGCGCCCAACTGTGCTGTCCTCCCTGAGGCTCTCGGCGCCCAACTGTGCTGTCCTCCCTGAGGCTCTCGGTGCCCAACTGTGCTGCCCTCCGGTCTACAGACATGTGTTACTTGCGAATGCGACGGGGTATAATTTGCTTTTGGTGTGTTACGGTCTGTTGCTGACGTTGCAGCCATAGCTGTTATGTATTCAAGCTATGCATTATGCGAAACCCGTATTTCGGAATGCATCGTGACACACATTTTAATCATATAGGACACATATGAGCTAGTTTCCAAGATAAAACGGACCAAAATATTTGGAAAGCGTGAAAGGAAATCATCCAGTTACGAAGACATAACTTCGCATGTAGAGCATTACTATGTGTGGGCATAGTTATGTCGTTACGATTGCCCGAACCGAACACCCAACCCCGCACAAAGATGAAATCAACAAGCGTCCTCACCAGGCCAAGTTCACAATTGTTGAACGGCCTTTATTTACACAAACACACAAACACGCACACCTACACACACAAACACCCACACCCACACCCACACCCACACCCACACCCACACCCACACCCACACCCACACCCACACCCACACCCACACCCACACCCACACCCACACCCACACCCACACCCACACCCACACACACCCACACCACACCCACACCCACACCCACACCCACACCCACACCCCACACCCACACCCACACCCACACCCACACCCACACCCACACCCACACGCACACACACACATTCTCACCTTCAGAACGCCATTGAAATGTTGCTTGCTACCAGGGACACGAACCGAGCGACGGCCTGGGCACGGCTGGTGAAGAACTGTTGTGTCCACGGCCTGCCTTTGGACGGCTGAGGATGCTGGAGTCTATTTTTCAGTGTGATTAGACAATTTTGCCGCACTACCGCGATGGCATTTGCACAGCCGATGTAGAAAGACTGGGAGAGAGAGCAAGGCAGGTATGAGCAGAGAGGAACGGAGAAAAGAGAGAGAGCAAGAGAGAGAGAGAGAGGTGAGAGGAGAGAGAGATAGAGAGGGAGAGAGAGAGAAAGAGGGAGGGAGAGAGAGAGGGTGTGAGAGAGAAAAGAGAACAATGCTCCGCCTGATAAGAAACGAATAAGTCCTCATCTGGAAATCTGAGAATTATTTCGAATGGGAAGACGCAGCGGGATATTTCATGTTACACCAGTGTAAAACATGTTAATTTTCCGCCTCATCCAAGTTACATTTCAGACACAATCCGCGGGAGCATATGCTGTTCACAAATATCAAAAGCTTCGCTTAAAGTAAAATAAAACTACGATTAAGCGAAACTTGTATTTAGCATAACGTTGATCTCCAAACGGCACGCAACCATACAGCTAATCTAGCCGCCTTGGCTTTCTGTGGTGTCAATGGTACGCCTAATTTGACGTCTTCACTATCAATGGGAGTGTTTAAAGGGAAGCCTCATTGAAAGCGCCTTAGCTGGAGACGCGGCTTTTCAACCCACCAGCCCGCCAATATTTGACCCGCAAGAACCCCCGGGCTTTTGGTTTGGTTATGGGCCAGACTTGGCACGCTTTTCCGGGTTCAAACATATTAGCAGGCAGCGTTTTTGTTTTTCTGCAAGTTTAAAAATCATCCAAAAACTATGGTGTGCTATGAAACGCAAAACAAATAAAAAAACAGTCTTTCTTTCATGTTTTTTTAAAGCCTAGCACCAGTAACAATAGTTTTAAGCGAATATGTCACTAAAAAACTCAAGAATGACAGCCATCATTCTTTTTGGCAGCCATAGCACCAGTGACAGCGGTTTTAAGCGCATATGTCACTGAAAAACTCAAGAATGACAAGCCAAGTTTTCAAAAATATAGTCTGATTTCATTGAGCGGCAATTGGACGGGTCCTTAATAGCTTTCTTGGTTTACAGACAAGCCATACCTTTACAAATCATAATCAATATCCATGATCAATGAAATGAATGAAAAGGTATGAGCCTTCCCCTGGTGTATCAAATGCGCAACAGTTATTGAAGCTGTTGTCGAAGCAAATAAACAGGGGAC